CCTGCTGAATCGGGTGTGTTAGCCAACCCTAAAGCCTCACCTGAAATGCTTCATACTGCTGCAGCAAGACCCTTGCTCGCTTGGCAGTGCTGTCATCGGTGTGCTGGATGTCCTTAACCAGCCGGCGGTTGGTCTCTGCCAGGCGGGCACCACGCTGCTTCAGCTCCTCGATGGCGTTTTTCTTCAGATTGGTCAGATTCTACGGGAATTTGTGGATTAAAGTGTTGCGGATTCCACCAGTCCCACCTGCCCCAAGTTTTCTTAGCATCATCCACTGTCCCCAGGACATTCCTGTCCCATAGTAACAGCAGCCTCCCTGCTGAGGCACCCTGACTTCCCCCAGCCAGCACCCCCCTGCTCCCATGTCCCCTGCTGCCAGCGGCAGGGGCAACGCCTCTTTAATAACCATCTTTCACCTGCTAAAAAGCTGTGGCCTTGTCCTCCACCTCAACCTTCTCTCTGCTAGACCGAGAAAATCTGATACCAACAGCCTTTTCTAACGGGTCGCATTTCCTAAATCTCATCCCTCCTGCTGCTGCAGTCTGGGCTCTCTCCTGGTTTTCTCTTAATTTTTCTTGATCGACAATATCAAGGTTGGATTTCACCGGCATTAAGCAGAGCACCACCATTACCTCCAGCGTATTAATAAATAAACACAGGCTGTTTTGCAAGAGTGAGTCAGACTGCTAGAATTTCCTCCATAAAGGCAGTTGGGGTAACTCTATGGATTCGCTACCTACATCCCAGCACGGGGGATTTGTGGCACGCACCGTGGTAATTCTGATCTCTTCCAAGGTTTTGGCTAATTCAGCCTTCTTGAGCGCTAATTTCCTTTGAGTAAAACTTCTGTCTTTCTCTGGGGATGATGATGGCTCCGAAGGCGAGGGTGGGTTTTTACTCAGCATAAATGCAACTGGCGAAACAAAAAAAAAGAGGCCTGTGCTTATTTCACAGTCCAGTTTCAGCGCCTTACATCTGCTCTCTCCTGTCATATGTGGCTGAGGGAAATAAAAAGAACTGAGAAACTGAATTCAAACCTTCTGCAGCCCCAGCAAAAGCTGCTTGCAGTCACAGCCCAGAAGCTGAGCCTACAAAGCGCTCCCTGGTCTTTTCTAGTTCTCCCCCCTTTATTCTCAGCATTTTCCCTTGGGTAATTTTCTTTTTGTGGCTTTTGCTGAATGTCTCACAGCAGAAAGCACTGGGTTAACGCAAAAGCGGCACCAGTGGGCAGGGCGGTGTATAAGGGAATCTCTCCCAACCTGGCTTGTCCTTCTCCCCTTTCTTGTCGTCGCTGGCGAGCGATGGCAAAGTCAACCTGCGGGCTGGAGATTTCCTCTCCTCTGCTTCTGTCTTCTGCCATTTGCTATAATCCTAAACTCAGCACGACAGCAGCATAGAAAAGATGGGGAGATCAGAGGATGTTTGTGAGCAGAGACCTCTCTGACCCGACCCACAGCTCTGACTCCCCTCTGCAGCTCCTCTGGGGCTTCCAAGTGTCCCTTTGAGCCCTTTGCCAGCAGCAAGTCTGAGGCCCCTTTCAGAGACACCGCCTTCATAACCACGATGCCGTAAATGCCATAAACTCCCCGGGAACAAGAGGCTTACCACTCTCTGGAACTCCTCCATGATACTCGGAACCGGGCCCCGCGCGTCCATCTCCGGGCGGGCTCTGGAAGGACAAAGCATAGCCCCAGGGAGCGGCTGAGCCCCGCGGCTCTGCCAGCCCCCACGGACAAGCCTCGGTGGGTCAAAGTCAGAGCAGAGAGGCCGCGACACCGCCGGGCTACGGCACACTCGGTGATCTCCATCTTCACCCAGTTCTCCTGCCCCACGGGGAGCCCCCAGCCCGTCCCCTGTGGGACCCCAGCCCAGC